GGGACGGAGGTCAGCTGTTCAGACAGCGCTGAACGCTGGGGGCATGTCCGGGACGGAGGTCAGCAGTTCAGACACAGCTGACCGCTGAAGCGCATGTCCGGGACGGAGGTCAGCTGTTCAGACAGCGCTGAACGCCGGGCCGCACGTCCGGAAGGACGTCAGATGGCCACACACAGCTGACCGGCCGGATCGTACATCCGGACTAAAGGCCAGCTGCTCAGACACAGCTGACCGCTAGGCCACACGTCCGGGACGAAGGTCAGCTATTCAGACACAGCTGACCGTTCGTCCGGGACGGAGGTAAGCTGGCCAGACACGGCTGACGGGTCGGACGGACGCGAGTGGCTCCGACGTCGCCCGAACCGGTCGGCGGCCGCCCACATCACCCGGACTGCATCCCGTAGGCCTGCGGGTCACGCCAGGTGGCGCGGGCGGCCGGGCGGGTCGTGGCGGGCTCCGGCTGGACCGACCGGCGGCATCTGCAGCGGCCAGCACTGCCGCAGCGAGAGGCGGCCCACACCGGCGGTCGAGCCCACGCCTACCGCCCAGCTCCACTGTGCCCCAGATCGGCATCAGGGACGCTGCCGCCCCTACCAGTCCGGCCACTACCGTTTTCAAACGGGCCGATGCAATCACGCGGGGCCGGGTGAAACCGGCCGCGCGGCGCTGTTGCCAGCTCGGCGCCGCCGCAGCGGCCGCCCCCGCCCGCCGGAGGTGAAAGGACAGCTCCTCCGCCACCGCGCGTCCGAAAGCGAAAGTGACCGCCGGAGACGGCTGCGATGCCCGGCGGCCGTGCCGTCCTCCCGGCCGGGCCGGCGGTCACCGGGCGGCGCAGCGCGCAGGCGGACACCGGCCCGGACGGGCTCCGAGCGAGCCGGGGTTCGGCACGGGCGCCGGCCCCGGGCGGCAGGCTCTGCAGGCCGCGGCGAGTAAGGCCTCCGGCAGAGGCCACGCCCGTTCCTGCTCCGGCCGACAGCGCACCAAGGCCGCGCCGCCGGCGACCGCAGCGCGTCCCCGCGCCAACGCTCGCCGAGGCCGACGACGATGCGTGGCAACAAAGAGACCGGCGCCTGGGGGGGGGGGGGGGGGGCTGCCCGACCGCCGCCGCCGGTGGCGTGGGGACACGGACGCGCCCCGGGCCCGGTGCCGGTGGCGACGCTCTGATCCAGCCACACACCCCGACGGAGCGCTACTGGAGCAGGCTGGCAGAGCCTGCGCCTCAGACATCGCTGTCAGCAGCACCGCCGCCCAGCCTCTGCGCCTCGGACGGAGCGGCGGACAAAAGTCGGGCGCCACCGAGGAAGACCTTGCCGCGGCCTCGCTCGGAGCCGTCTGCACCGTTGGCTGGACTCAAACTACACGCAGCGACAGCCATAACTTACAACCCACACAAATCGGACGACCTGCCAGCTCTGACCCACGCTCCAATTCGCTCGGTCCAACTGGAAACAAAGCACAAGTCTCTGCTAGAGTGCCGCCTCGGCCCGTCAGAGCGACGACGGCGGAAGGAGTGGAACACTGCAAAAGCGGCAAGTGTTGCGAAGTGTCCAGTCAGCGCCGTCGTTCAGACGTGGCGAGAACGCCGTCAGCGGACCTGCCTAGCACTCTGCCTGGAGCCCCCAGCCGGCTGTCATTCACCAGCAGCAGGCCTGACAGCCGGCCGAGTCCCACTGGACGTGCCCCGGCGCAGGGGCCTCGGTCTCCAGCTCAGATCTCGGCGGCGCGCCGGCCCGATCTCGCCGGCAGATTGAACTGACCCGCTCGGCGCCAGAGGGCACTGGCTGGCCACACTCGGCCGGGTTGGCGGCATGACTCTTCACGACTGGGTCTTCCGGGCCGGTGGTCCCCCGGGTTCGGCGAAGGCCGGGATCTCGTATCAATATCACATGCGCGTCTCGTCCGCGTGTTGCACGCCGCAGCGACGCCGATCCGACAGATTCACGGAGCAAGCAATTCACATCGTAGCAACTCTATATCACCACTTCAAGTGCCTGAAGGTCAAAACAGCTCGTGAATCCGGCCCGCTGCAGGAGGTCATAACTCAGCGCGGCTGTTGTGGCCGTCGGCGGGCGTGCAGAGCTCGACAGCCGGCCGGCGCGCCCCGGTTCCCTGCTGCCCGGCGCCCCGCACATGCTCTGGCCGATCGGCCCCCTATCGGACCGTTTATTTACGTAGCCGTCGAGTGACACCGAGTCGCCCGGCACTGGAGCGTGCGTCTGCAGATCTGCAGCAGCAGCCATGAGCGGCGCAGGGCAGCCTGACAACGCCAGCGCTGTCTCACACCCACCTGGGCTCTCCACAACTGCATCGACATTCACATATATTTCCTCAACATGATATATATATATATATATACATATTCCAAACATTATATGCATATATATACATACATATATATATATATATATATATATATATATATATATGCATTTGGGTTCAGATAACTGCATCTACACTTGGGCGAAGACATACTGGTTAAAGTTGGGCTTACTCAGACGGGGTTATTCAGGGCTCTCCCATAAAACCACGTAAAATGCACAAAAATACGTCAAACTGCAATGATTGTTCCACACAGAGACTGAACTGAAAGCTTGTGAAAGAAGGCTCAAGGTTAAAACATACGGTAACTAGATATGTGACGACTACCAATCATATCTCAACAAGATACTTGTTTTTGGTCCGGGACGGCTAGCATTCTCCGTCGTTTTAAGAATATTCGGCACCCATTATAATAATGTAAGATGCGGTCGTCGTTCCCGAAGATTCTGACCAAGGTCCCTAGAAACATACCTCAGGTTATTGTCCCCCATGGCTTTTTCCCCTGCATGAGTCGAATTACCGCGAAAATCGTTATTTTCTCCTATTTCGGTGGCATTGCATTTAAGTTTACAGAATGACCAACTGTTGGTTCACATGAATATTCGCCCTATTTTTACGCCCTTTAGACACAGTTACGTTCTAGGGGACCGTACATGCTCTTGGAACCAATGATCAGTTTTGCGAGGCCTCGCAATTTCTCCATCCCCACGGACTCTCACGTTGGTTCCGCGGGAGACCATGTCCCTCCCCCTCCTCCTGGTAGGTTTTCACTGGCATAAGTTTCTAACACGACACTTGTCGCGTGGCGTCCGGACCGGTGTCGCGCCTACGCTGCCGGAGACAGAGAGAGAGCGCCCTTCGGCTCTGACTGCGGCTGCTCGCCGGCCAAAGACGGCGGCTGACGCCACGCCCCGGGCTGGCGTGTCGCTAAGCACCGCCGGCCTCCCGGAGACGCTGCTGACCTGCACCGGCTCGGCCGCACCCTACAGAGGCCGTCCAGTCATGTCCTCGAGACACAGCTTCAGACTCGGAGCACACGCCGCGCCCATAAGCTATCCGGACATATCCTACAGACACAGCTCCAGACTCGCGGAACACGTCGCACCCCTACAGAAGCTACCCGATCATATCCCATATCCTCGGGACACAGCTCCAGGCTCGGAGAACACGCCGCACCCCACAGACGTCCCCCGATCATATCCTCGAGACACAGCTCCTGACTCGGAGCACACGTCGCACCTCACAGAGGCTATCCGATCATATCCTAGAGAGACAGCTCTAGACTCGGGACTAAACGCCATACCTCATAGAGGCTATCCCATCATATCCTCGAGACGCAGCTCCAGGCTCGGAGCACACGCCGCACCCTACAGAGGTCCCCCATCATATCCTCGAGACGCAGCTCCTGACTCGGAGCACACGTCGCACCTCACAGAGGCTATCCGATCATATCCTATACACAGCTCTAGACTCGGGACTAAACGCCATACCTCATAGAGGCTATCCGATCATATCCTCGAGACACAGCTCCAGACTCGGAGCACAGGCCGCACCCAACAGAGGCTATCCGATCATATCCTCGGGACACATCTCCAGACTCGGGACTAAGCGCCACACCTCATAGAGGCTATCCGATCATATCCTTGAGACGCAGCTCCAGACTCGGAGCACACGCCGCACGACGGTGGCGACCGTTGGTGCCAGCCATCTGACGGCGCGGCTGAACCACCCGCAGGGCCCGTCAGACCGGCCTGACCTAACCAAATATGTCCCGTATCGTCAGCGGGCCCCGCCCACCACACACTGGGAGCCACGACCAGAGGAGAGCAGTCCACGCCACAGTTCATGATAACCGGTGGGCAACACACCATTCTATGCAGAGGCCCAGCGATCCACTGAAAAAGGCCCAGCGGTCTTCGGCAGACATCTGGCGCATCTCTGTGACCGCTCCGGCATTTCTAGCGGATCTCAGCGACTCTCAGCCGACTCCGAGACTGTGCGGACCGCGAGCACGACGACCGACCGACGGCCTGTGACAAATGTCACATACGCTTGACGCGCTGCACCAGGGCAGTCGCTGGAAATCAAGGTCGAAAACGACCTCGTGGCCGGTCTGCTCGCTGTCGTTCGGCACGCTCGGCCGGCCGGGCTACGTCGCCTGCGGGGGCGAGCCGCGGGGCGGGCGCCGGTCGGTGTCGGCCGGGTCACCGACAGCAAACGCGCGCACTCACACACCGCTGACAAGCAGCAGCAAGACGCGCCGCCGCCGGAGTCGGCCACGGCCGCCCAGCGCCAGCTAAGACGACTTTCGATTTCAGACGCTCGGTCGAAACACCGTGCGAACGGCCCCAGGCTGGGAGCGGCCGGCGCATCTACACGGCGCCGTGCGACGGCATCGTGACTCGACACAAGTCGTGAGGCTTTTACCGCCCGCCGACACCGTACTTTCAATAATTTTGTACTGCTGCAGCGACGCTGATCACGCTGGCGCTAGGATCAGTTCAGCGTTTGGAAAAACGGCCCGATCTGCGAGACCGCATTCTTTGAATGCATGTGGACCGGCTATTGCTGCTCTGGCACTTTCAAAACCGTCCCTTAAAAAAACTGCGCCAGTTATACGTGACAAAAAATTACTTTAACACAACCCAGCAAAAGACAACACAATAAATGAATGAGCTTACCTTCGAGCTTCATGCCAACGCCGAGACACTTCTGGAAGCGGCAGAACGGACAGCGCTTCCGTTGCGTCTTGTCGATCTGGCAGCTTTTGTCGGCGACGCAAGTGTACACTTTCTTGTTCTGCACGGTCCGTTTGAAGAAGCCTTTGCACGACTCGCAGGTGAGCAGGCCGTAGTGGTAGCCGGACACCTTGTCGCCACAGACGGGGCACAGCTCCTCGATGCCCTCCTTGGTGTCGGGGAGCTCCTGGTGCAGGTTGTACTGGTGGTCGCTGGCGCCCATGCTGGTGGCGCCTGGCGGGTACAGACACGCGTTATCCAACAGCGGTGGCCCCAGGATGCTGTTGTTGTTGGACACCTGCACGTGCGAGTAGACGGGCGGGTTGACGCTGGTCATCGCGGCCGGCGACGAGGCCAGGCTGCTGTAGCACTGGACGCCGCCGCCCTGCTGCGGCGGCGGCGCCACCGCCGGCTGGCCCACGTGCTGCACGGCCATCGCGCCGAAACTGGGCGGCACATGCGCTAGCGGCAGATCCATGTCTGATATCATGGCGCGCGGGGCGGGGACACGGGGCCTGGCTGGGCTCGGCCGCCGGCCGGCCGCAGCGCGCTGATGTCTGGCGGCGACTGGCGGCCGCGGCGCGCGCGCGCTCCAGTCTCGCACACACGTGAGGCCGCTCGGGCTCGGTGCCGCGCCACCTCCTCCCGCCACATCCGCTCGGCGCCGACTGCCGCGCGCCGCGCGCCATAGTGAAAGTGATCCCGAGCTGGCCTAATTCCGTTTCTTCAGGGCCTATGTAAGTCTGATAGCAGCTAGCCTAGTGACCCACTTAGCGGCCGCGCGCAACAAGGGCCCGCGCACGCGCACGATCGATGGCGCGCGAGCCCCTGTTGCCGGCCAGCCGCCGGGACACATGCCCGTAAAAACAGCACGAGCTGGCATCGGCCCGCGCACGTGGCGCTGCCCGGCGCGTCAGCGAGCTGTTTTTGCACGCGGCTCCTCCCGTAGTAATTTCCCGACTACTCCAGATACGTCGATTACGCAACTGCCGTGGGGAGGTGGGAGAATCGGCGGTCCGCCGCCTGGCAACAGACGACATTGCCCCATGTAGAGCCCACCCGGCCTGCGGTTCCTGACGCAATGCGGCCCTCCCATCCGCAACGAAGCCGACCGGCCGGTGAGCGTTCCCATGCCCTGCTCGGCTCTGCTCAGGGGTGGGGAGAAGAGTGTGCGAGGCGGGGGGACTGCGGGGTTCACGGGGTGGCGGGTGCCGCCGCACGCGTCAGCGCGCTGAAGGGGTTTGAATCGGTGTGACGGCCGGCCGGAGGGGTGAGCGGCACACCTGTGCCACGGGACCGGGGCCGCCCTCGACAGGTGACACAGCTGACCTATCCACCGACGCAGGGCAGCGCTTAATATGCACACCGCTGAAGCCCAGAGCTTGTCACTGACTCACAGCGAACAGGCATGCACTATTTATAACTAACGTCCTACTAAAGACAGACGTATACATATAGAGCTCAACGGCGCGCGGCATTTCCCCAGGAAAGCGAGCCCGTAATGCTGAGAAACTAAAAAACCCTCATAAAAATCTGACTCCAGTCAGCCGCCGCCAGTTTGTCGGAATCGAGGCGCCATATTTCAGACGCCAAAAATGTGACGGTACCGGCACCAGTCAGACGCCAGTGTTGAGCTGCCACCCTGGCACTGACGCCTAGCTGTCGATGCCGTACGATCGAAACATTACATTTATACCGAGTGCACGCCGTAACAGATGCCGCATAGTAAAGAAGCGGTGAGTACTTTCAACTCGAAGACGAAACGGTTCACGCGGTCCATTGGGTTCAAAACGGCCGAGGTTTAGCACAACAAACTTTAAGGCAATCATTGCAAACGTATTCGTCGCCGGCGTTCGCTCTTCTGGGCCGCGTTCCCCGGGGCTGGGCGCGCCCGGCCGCGCGGCCGCGCGGGGAGGTTCCACTTGTCGGACGGGCGACCCGGCGGCAGCGTGTGCGGTCAACCGGCACGGGGTGGAGGCATGACCCAGCCGGCCGGTGCCCGCCCAGACCCGAGCCACGCGTCCCGACCGGGCGCCAGCCGCCCGGGGCGAGGTGCCCTGAGCCGCGCGGCCGGGGCTCCCCGCGCCCCAGAGCCCACGGAGCCGGTCGGCGGCGGTGTCCACCGACAGCGGCCGCACCGGCGGCGGCGGCCTGTGTCGCCGGTCACCGGCACATCGGGTCCGGCCGGGCCGGCTGGCAGTAACGGTAACGGTCCGGCGCCCGCCCGCTGAGCGGCTGGCAGATACGCCGTGGACCCTGTTCTGCAACGGACACCACGGCGAGCGGACCACGAGCGGGCTGACCCCCCCCCCCCCCCCACCCCCACCCCTTCCGCGTGCAAGATGCTCAGCTTGAATTGCTGATGCCTGTTCAGCCTCAGTCACAGGGTATGAATTACAATGTCGACACATTCGCAAAGATAGATCTGACTTAAAACTAACGCAACGACTTACGTGTGTAATTTTTCACCCACGCTGGAATCAGCGCTCATTTGCGTAACCTATCTAAAAAATCTCATTTCTCGCGACCTCTTACATTTTTTTAAAACTTTATCCCCGTTTCTTTGCGCAGGATATTATAATGAATAATGCAGTAGTCAGCCGGATAGACGGCCGTGCGCGCCCATGTCTCGCTGTCTGACCGCCGTCGGTGCCTGTGCTGGCCGCGGGGTGATGCGCCCGGCACTCGTCACTGTGGCCCCTCCGAGCCCTATCCACCGGCGGGGTCACCCAGAACAAAACAGGTCCAACAGCTGTCACGACCCTCCGCCATAAACAAAATGACATTACGGCCAACCTAACCGCAATGACCGGTGATTTACCACCATTCTGATTGAAATGACACGCAGATAGGTAGGTTGTCACGGTTAGCCTCCGAGCATACGACCCTACAAGGGTCGAATCACTTAGGCACAATGCACGATGTGCAGAGTGCCTAAACGCGCTGCGCAAATGATAACCTACAACCCTACAAGAGTCGTATTTTATCTCCACCCGTATTGGACACTTGTCTTAGCTCTGGTGCAAATTATCGAACTCAAATAGGCTGCTACGGCTAACATGCTCTTCTAACCTGACATAACATATCATGACTTGCAAACCAGAAGAAGCTGGGAGATCATGACGCGCACGGTCCGTGATCAAAAGCAGTGTTTCATTAGAACAAACCGGTTCTTACCAGCGATGCATTTCATGCAATGCAATTGCTGAAAACAAAATTTGGCAAAGCAAGGTTTTGCCCAAAGCACGCAATACGGAAGCAAAGGCCTAGCAAACGCAGTTATTAGACATGTGTACGGGCCGGAAGTAAACATCCCATATATCAAACGATCCATCACCAAGCTTGGAAAAAATCTCACATCCCAAAAATCATTCGACAAACCCTTCCGACAAAATGACAAAAACACACTGATCACTCGTTGATCCTCGGGAGCAATGTCGGCTGGGGCTACGTATCTGAGAAAACTTTTACATTTTACATTTATAAACGACATTTTAAGAAGCATCCTGGATCCTTAAAGATCCATGGTCCTTGGACTCGGGTGTGCAATCCGAGGATTCAGTTCTGAGGTCTATGCCATAGTAACGGCTGCCTGGCCTGGGACGTTGGACTGGACTAAGCGTGCCAGTTTTTGGGCTGGTACGGGGCTTGGCATGCAGGAGCCTTTTGAAGCCAATAGTTTTTTGTTTGTTTTTTTTTTGCTGTGCGTGTCCTAACGAACGCTTATATCGCCGTCTGAGCAAGTTCGAAAAACAGCAATAAGCAAATTACGTTCCACCGACAAGCGTTATGGCCATGGCCAAATGTTCGAATTTTGGTTCCAGGACCGCAGGTTGACGAGAGCAATACATAAAACCCGTGACACCAACCGGAGGAGTGCACGAGCGTGTCCACAGTTACAAACGCCTATTGCCTCTTCATGCATTGCGAATAAAGGTTCAGGTATAAAACTGCATGTCTACCTTATAAGTAGACGTGATTTCCACGTCTACATCTACAACGTATATGGCGCAGGTTTAGACTGAACACTCAATGCTCACTAAATGGAGTGAATCCGGTTGCGCTGCTTGTATTGCAAATTTTTCATCGGTCGTAAGTTTGCGTCCAAGCAAAACCGATGTCAGTCAGGCCAACTGTTTTAGAGGAGCTTTCCACAGGGTCTCAACACATTGAATTGGCCCAATTTATTGCCTTGAATGAGCAAAACTTTCATTACGTTAGAAGAGGCTCAATTTCCCAATATTACTTAATTTCGACTCATATATTTTGGCAAGGGTGGGCATGTAACGCGGGCTGAGCGGAGAGTTCAGCCTAAAAAGGCGCCTGATATAAAACAACTAAACGCAAGAAGTGCTTTAAAATAAACTTGGCATTGAAGAAGTTGCCTAAATAAGTTTCAGTCCAAAAAGACACCTGATCTTAGAACAAAGAAATACCGCCAGAAGTGCTCTAAAACTTAGCTGGATTTGAAAAAGTCGGGCAAGTTCGTTTCAAAGTCAAGAAATGTGGTATTTCTGCCCCAATTTGGCTATCTTGAAGGGCCACGACACCGCTGCAAGCCACATTTATCTAGCCACGCCGCATAATAACATTAAGCAAAAGCGACGCACGCGAGGTAAACTGTCGCACGGCTACGTTTTTCTTGTGTAATTTTATGTTCCGGCATTTTCATGTAATTTCACAGTTTAAACCCCTGACCAAAGAGGGGGAAGTGCCTGGTCCTAGGCTTTTCCAGAATTAACGATTTAAACGACTCTACTAAATTTCGTGCATCTGAAAATGCATCCTTTTTCAAATGTTTTGGAAGCCAAGTTTCTGATTTCAACAGTTCTGGTCAAGCCAGGCCCTTTTTCTCAAGGTCCAGGCCATATAGGTGAAATTTTGGCCAAAGCAAAAAAAAAACAGTTACCTCACGCAGAAATTGTACAGTAGAAATTTCTCGATATCTCTTCTTGACCACATCACTCCGGAAGTATTATGCTAAGGTTTTAATTGCTTTGGAAGGTCAGGACATCCAAAGTCAAGCTACGTAAAAGTTTAATTTTTGCGACTAGACTAAACTCTTTAAACGTTCCGCAAGTCAAACATTTATGACAAATACTTATCGACCTCGGAAGGCCTTTTTACGCCCATTCTTCCCAACGATAAAACTTGTTTTGTTTCTGATACCACTGGACAAAACAGTGCGATAATCGCCTTCGTCTACTTGACCTACAGAATATGAGGGGTAACATGTATAGGATACAGGTTTTTAGGAGATATTTGAGACTTTAACACTGTCGTATTATGTTTTGTTCTAAAGACAACAAAAGGTGTCTACAAAGTAAAAGTTTCACCCCTTAGACCTGGTATGACTATCAGAGGTAACATCTGACATTGTTTACACAGATCCGACGGATGAGAGTTTTCGAATGCCGTTTTCGCGAGGCTCTAGCTGTTCAATTTTCGACACCTTAGAGAAACACTGAGCTGCAGCCATCATCGTCTTACGAAGAAAGCGTAAAGTCTCCGATGTGACAAGGATCATGATATGATCGAGTGCAAATCACGCCGTCCCTCT